TGCTGTAACAAACCTATTATGTTAATTTATAGACTTATTTATTTATTCATTTATTAGACTCCACTAGTCCAAAACTAACAGGTCAGTGATGGTTCTGTACCAGTGTTCTTGTAATGACCATATTATGGATATTTCCTGCACATTGCATCATCACATTAAAAAAAGTCAGATTCGTGTTGTTGTGTTGAAGTGTTTCATTTTAAATTTGACCGTTTTTAAAAATACAAACAGCAAGGAAGAGCATCTTACAGCAGCAGCTGAATTTTTTTTCTGAGTAATTAAACTTAAAATACACATTAAAATAATTGTATGATGACACTTTGAATCAGCTACATCTGTGGTGTTCAGTGTCCCGATGCTGAACTACAAAATGATCATCATTACTACATTATAATCCATTTTGTCTTGTTATTTCATGCAGGTCATATAAAAAAGAACCATTGGTGAAAAATGTAATGTCAATAATAAGGTTAAACGAAAAAAGATTTGCTGTGGTCCATGATTGTCATGGTGATGGGATGGTGTGTCATTATGAATTATGAGAATTATTTAATATTTAGAGAAATCCAGCAGCTCATATCGTGGGATCCAGCACCACATATACAGCTGCAGATCATTTCACCTTCCTACGCAAAGCTGGAAAACACATCAGACTGAAACTCTTATTTACTAAATAAAAGAGTCAAACTAACTGCTGACACATTCCTGCTGATTACCACATAAATTATAATCAGTGTGATGCCCAGTACAGGGAATCCATGGCTGTTATGATAGATTTATTTTTCTTTTAAATTAGCAACCTCACTTATGGAGCTTTTTAATCTCAGGACTGAGGCCAGGTGTACCACAGAGCTGTAAAGTAAATGTGAAATGTCTTACTCCTCAGCAGCAGCAGATTTAGTTCCTTTAAAGTGGAAGATGAAACCCTTTGACTGATCACTCTTCAAAGACACACAGCTGGGTCCAGGTTCAGGTTCAGGGGCATCTGGTGTCTCAGTGATCCTGGTGAACAGAGGAAAAGATAGGTACCAGATAAACTTGGAGCTAGTCGCAGTGATAATATTACAGTAAGGCTAAAAAGTTTGATGCTCTTCACAATGTTGTCTTTAGTCTGTTTGTTTATCCAGCTGTCTTTTCTTCTTTTTGTGAACAAAGCTAAAAAAAATAAATAATAAATGACTAAACCAAACCTTCTCACTGTTTACTCATGGAGTTAAGATACGTTTAATATTTTGTTAACTCTTACCTCTCATCAGGAGTCAGTTTCCTGCTTTTAAAGTCAGGACGGTCTTTCTCTGGAGAGCTTCTCATCCTCATTGTTACAGAGCTGAGTCTGGTCTCAGGCTCAGGAGAGTCTGGTCTGAGGAGTGAGGAAAAGAATAAGGCAGGGTTATATATCTACACTTTTTTAATCTCCAGGTGGAACAAAAACTTTGCAGGGTTAAATTTAATTAACAAAACAGAGAGCAGGTTTGTTGTAGAGAGTTACTGCATGTTGTATGAAATCATTTCTGTTTTTGTTCTTTTAGCAGTGAAGATAATGTGAGGTTTTGAGTGTGATACCTTTCCATGTTGGTAAAAACCTGCAGTCACCTGATGGAAGAGAAAAGTGAGAATAAAACACAGATTATAATTTGGCTTTATTTCTGTTTGTTGAGATATTTGATAGCTACAAGGTGGTGACCTGTTTATACATAATTATATTTTATATTATATTACTTTATAATTAAGGTTTCATTGTTTGTCAAAAAAATCTGAAAAAATCTATTTGACCATCAAAGAGTCAACAAACAATCATTGTGATGATTACACTTTTCAAACAAAAGATTAAATAGAACAAAAATACAAAAAAACATATAATATAAATCAGATCAAAGATTAATTTATTCATCATCTTCCTGAACACTGTCTGTCTGCAGCTCTTTGCTGTCTGCACTGGGATAAGTTTTGATTATGTTCTTTCTCTATTAAGGTCTTGTCATACTTCCCTTCATCACTTTATGCTTCAGGAGTATGAGTCAATATTTAAGTAAAAGTATTTTCCTGGCACATAACACACATTCTAGAAAGCATCCTCTACTTCAGCTATTTTTCACGTGTATAACTTCCCCGCCAGACTGTGTGTAACCACTGCAGGATTTAAAGACACATCTTAAAATAATGTATTAAAAAGAATTTTATAAACAACAAAAAATGAAAGAAACAAAGAAAAGAAACAAAATGAAAATAATTCAAAGCTCACCAAGTGTCCACAATCATTGTGTTTTATTCTGTAGCTCACTTCCTTGTTTATTTCTTAGATGTTAATGATTTGAATACAGGTGCTCACTGTACCCGGATGACACGCCCACACTGTCCGACTAGTTAAACAAGTTTATAATGTCACTGCTTTGTTTTGATGTTTTGCTGAATTTCCTGCCCCTGGCTACTGAATTTCATCTATCAAGTGAAAGTTTTAAACAGCAAAACATAAATTATCCACTTACTGAAGAGTGTTTAACTTTTTTAATTGAATATTAATTTTCTTAAGAACTGTAGGACTCTGTGTCCCGACAAAGTTTTGAATTACACATTTCACTACCCAGAATCAGTGACGCATCAGAATCAGTGAGCTGTCGGCTTTCAGCCCTGACGGCGTGTCCATTTACGGCCGTCGGGTGAGAAAACCGAGAAAGAGAAAGCTGATTCTGATGCGTCGGGTCCACGCTCTGTGTTTACGTCTTTGTGTGGAATCCATTTACCTGCTCTCACCTGCTATCACTTTATTCAGGCTACTCACCTCTCTCTATCCACCTGCACTTTCAAACGTACACGCGAAGGACTACAGGAATATCTGGACCACGGCCAATCAGAGAGGTCCTGCTCCTGACTGTCTCAGATTGGTTTAGACCACAATATGGG